CAATTCCCAGAATTCCCCAGCCAGGGAATTCTGGGAATTGAAGTCCACACATCTTCAAGTTGCCAAGGTTGAGAAACCCTACCTTACACTAAACTGGTCCCCAATAATAATAATAATAAAGTCCCTGCAGTTTTCTTGGCAAGGTTTTTCAGAAGGGGGTTGCCATTGCCTCCTTCCCAGGGCTGAGAGTGACTGACTGGCCCAAAGTCACCCAGCTGGCTTTCTGCCTAGGCGGGATTAGAAGGTTTCTAGTTATCCATCCATCTGAGAAAAAAACAAAACAAAACAGAAACCACACCAGTGCTGTAAAGCATGCTAACATTTCCCAAGAAATGATGGTTCCATAACTGGGTTTTCTCTTTGTCTCCAATACTTGCTCCATGCTTAATCACACTGGTCTTGCAACCACACCTACAGTATATTTAAGCTACTGCACAGTCTTATGATAGATTTGTTTCGAAGACAAAAAAGAGGGGAGGAGAAAAAATTGCCAGAAGTTGAATTTAGTCTCCAACATTAACTTTATTTCTTTTTCCATCTGTTTGCAAATTCTTGACAAGCTGAGTGTCTCCTTCTATTCCTTGAAACTGAACAAGGAAGGCAGCCCTGGGAATTATTTTCTTCCCCAATTCAGCTGGGTTTTCAGTCGACAAAGTGGGGGGAAAATGAACTAAATGTGATGGATTAAATTAGTTGTTCCTTCACTCAAGCACTAGGGGTAATTTTACAGAACTGGCAGGATCTCCAAAAGATGGAAATTGCGAGTCTCTGTCCCTTGGCATCGGACAACAACAAAGATGCCATTGTTATCAAAGGCCACACATGTCTGGCTTGCTACTTAACTATTGAAGGAGTAAAACAACTACCTGAACCAAGATCAAGGCCCCTGATCTCAAGAAGGCCTCCCTAATAGCTTGTTAGGTGTCTGCAGATGCTGGCTCACGAGTCATCTTAATTACTTGTATTTTGAAATGGGAACTAGGAAGTAACTTAACCACAAAAGCTGACTAGCACCGACTTCTACTTTATTAACTGAGTATGCTCACTATAAGCAGAAAATCTAACCCACGTTACCGAAAATAAGATGACTGGCATTTGGCATCATTACCGGTCATCATTTATGACACGACTGTATAAAAGTTGTTTGTACTCTCCTTAGAAGTGGGAAGAACCTTGGGGTCTGTCCCCGTGCTGCTCAAATAATCTTGGCTCAAGCAGACTGTGCGGTTTCCCCTTGTAAATTAAGTCGTGGGAATTTTCCCCTTCACTGCCCCATGGCTCTTATTGGCTGCTCATTAAAGGAATTGGACCGATAGAGGTGAATATGTGTAGCTCAGTTGAACTGTGGAGTCCTTGGGGTTCTCTAAGCTTGGTTGTTTCCTCGCAAACGTTTCATTACCTGGCTAGGGAACAACTTCAGTGCTAAAATGGGATGGGGTTTGCTCTCTATTTATGTGCTGTGGCCTGCCTTGC